GGCGACGAGCGCGCACAGTTCATGGCCGATTGCGCTGGCCTCTATGGCACAGATCTCTTGAATAAGATGCAGGAGTGGACGACGAACAAGACGTCGAAGAGCCGCGAGACCCAGGACGGCGAATACGGCGACGCGATGCCCGTCTGCATCGCCGCCGAGCTGCCGCAATTCGTGAAGGACCCTGCCGCGTTCGAGCGGCTGTGCAGTCAGCCTAACATGACATTCGAATGCAAGCACAGCGGCATGCAGATGGTGTATGTGCCCGTGTACAAGAATCAGGACGTGAACACACGGCTTGACCAGGATGAACAGATCCGTGAGACCAGCGGCGAGGCCAAACTCAAGAAGTCGAAGCCTCAGAGGGCGCCCAGGGACCCCAAGAGTGATGCACCTAAGCCGACGCCCGAGGCCCTCAAGAAAAAGGTCGACAAGGCTGTCCAAGAGATCGACGCTTGGCTCCACGCGGCGGCTGGCCCGCTCACGCACGCGAAAGTCGACAGTGACAACTCGTACGTGCCCGCCCGCCTCGTCACCAAGGTCGAGTCTATTGGCACCGAGCTCGAGGAGATGAAGGGCAAATTCAATGAGGCGGTGGATCAGAAGATGGAGAGGGGCCACGTGCTGAACTTGTTCGAGCAGTCCAAGCTGATCGGCAGTCGCCACCAGGACGTCGTGGCCAAACTCGAAGGCCCCTCTTGGGGGGGGGAGGAGGAGGAAGAGGGAGGTGGGGGATAAGGAGGGAGGAGGAGGAGGAGGAGGAGGAGGAGGAGGAGGAGGAGGAGGAAGAGAGAGAAGGAGGAGGAGGAGGAGGAGGAGGAGGAGGAGGAGGAGGAGGAGGAGGGAGAGGGAGAAGGGGGGGAGGAGGAGGAGGAGTAGGAGGAGGAGGAGGAAAAGGAGGAGGAGGAGGAGGAGGAGGAGGAGGAGGAGGAGGAGGGGGAGCCAGGCATGGTCGATGAGATGCCCGAGCACATGCGCCCGAAGGCCGAGCCTGCCACGGACGGCGAGGGGGCCGAGGCCGCCGACCTGCAGGCAGACGCTGGCGGCGCCGAGGACTGGCAGGGTTCACATGCATAACTTAAACCATGCATCGGGGTTCCTCGGGCCCAAATACAGTTGGAACATAATTGAAATAGCATTGAAAACCTCAGGATGAGAACGCCCCTGGAGACCTGAGCCCCTGTTCGCACGGGACCCTTTCGGATGCACTTCTGGACGTGTGCTAGATTTCTGGAGGAGCAGACGGGAACGAAGCGCAGGAGGCGCGAGGAGTCGAGCCCTGCCGCCGCTGGTGTAAGGAAGCGCCCAGCTGCAACTAGTGGGTCTGTTACAGGGGCTTAGGCAGTGGCCCTCTTGCTCTTGGGCGGCCTTCTAGGCAGTCTCCCTCTTACTCTCCCTCCCTCAGGCCTCGCGATCATGGACTCTTACTCCCCCTCCCTCAGGCTTCACGACCAGGGGCCCTCACTCTCCCTCATACTCTCCCTTCGCGATCTTACGCGGCCTTCTATGCAGTCTCCCTCGTACTCTCCCTCCCTCAGGCCTCGCGATCATGGGCTCTTACTCCCCCCCCCCTCAGGCTTCGCGACCAGGGGCTCTCTCTCTCCCTCTTACTCTCCATCTTACTCTCCCTCCCTCAGGCTCCCTCTAGGCAGCATCCCTGCTCTCGTGGACTCACGATCTCCCATTTCTGAGTGGCAGCGAGCAAGCTTGGCAACGACTCGTGGCATGCAACTTGCGGGCACACTTAAAGGGAAGTGTCCACCGTCGGCTGACGGCCGCAGTGCGCGTGTAGGTTTGACATCGGGGAGAGATTCAACGCTTGCGGAGTGGCACGCTTGCTCATTGTCGCAACTCTCCTCAATCTCCCTCGCCGTCATCTCCCCTGTCGCGTGCTGACCCTCCTCCCCTTAACCCGCCCCCTCCCTCCTCCTCGCACCGCCCGTCGAGGGGTATCCCGCGAGGTATCCCGTGTATCCCGCGTGAGAGCCTCGATCAGGGAACACGCGGGATACCCTGATAATTATCATGGTATCCCGCGAGATATGGCGTCATCCCTGCAGGTATCCCGCAAGGTATCCCACGTATCCCGCGTGATTTGTTGCGCGGGGCGCGCGGTGGGCAAGGGGTCGGAGTCACGGCGCAGCAGGGGTGGGGGGCGGACCATGAAGAAACGGAACGAGGGGGCACCCGAGAGGAGGAGGGTGGAGGGGGCGCGGAGGTAGTGGCGGAGGGGCCGAGTGCCCACCACCAGGCAGGGTGGCTCGCCAGGTCGTGGAGGAGGGAGAGGGCGAAGGCATGATAACATGTGAGGAAGAGCGCAAATGCCAAAGCTGACCTCTCTCCCCCACAACGCTTCCCCCTGCCCCGCAGGTCCTGCAGATGAACGAGGGCACGGTGGCGACGCGTGCCTCGCAGAGGGCGCGGGGTCCGTTCTCTCCGGTAGACATGGGTGCTGCGGGGTCGTGTTTCACCCGAGCTTCTCCGGTGAATGCAATTATTTTTGCGCTACGGTTCCCTGTTTCTCCGGTGAATCCATGCTTCTTCTGTTTTACCTGCACGGTTCCCCGAGTGCCCCGTTCTCTCCCTCCTCATCTTCTTCCACCCTCCTACTCCAAACCCTCACTGGTCGCACCCCCTCTCTATGTGCACGTTTCCTACAGTGTGAGCGGCGACGCCCGTGGCGGACACGCGCCCTGGCCGCGCGCTCGGCCCCTCGGACTCATCCCGTGGACTGTCCCCTCATCGGACTGAGTGTCCGATGGTGCCACAGGCTTCCGAGCGCCAGCAACATCAACTACTATTATGTATTCCACTGTTGTTGCCCCAACGGTTACGATAGCAAGACGTCCACGACTATGTCTTAACTATAACTTGATGATGTTGAGTTGTTTCTTATGGGCGTCTGGGTTATATCGTAATTATGTATCAAGAGCGCCTGCCTTGTACGATGTACGTATTGTTACGCTTCATTTGCGTTTGGGTTTGCCAGATCAGAAATGTGTTCATTGTGTTTCCATACTGGATTGCCCATTTCTTAATTATGGTTCCATTATGTCTTACGTATGCATGTTCATGTCTAAACTATGCATCACTTATGTCTCAACATGAACGAATACTGGATTGATCATGTTTTAGTACGCTAAAGCATGTATTATGTATGTGTTTTCTTGTGTCTTGGTTATGTACCATATGTGTGTTGGAGTATGCCGTAGCTGTGTGTTAATCATGTTGCAATCAGGAATTGCTTATGTATGTTTAATGTCTTAACTATGTATTGAATATTGTTTAAATGTGCCTTGGCTCTGTAATAATGATGTAATGTGTGCTTCAACGTTGTCCTAGTCGTGCCTGGGTTATGTTTTACGTGTCTATTCTTTATGTTGCAGATGTGCCTTAACTATGTCTTATCTATGTCCTGACGGTGTGTATGATTATGCCAAATATGTTTCACTTGTTTCTTATCTGGGCCCCCCCCCCACCGATTAGGGGGGGGCCTCAGGAGCGCGGAAACGGAAAAGGCAATGTTGGTAGGGATCAGCACACGCCCGAATGCTGATCCCTACCAACACGCTGCTTTGCTCTTTTACGGTGTTAATCATTTCTCCACGGTGTTTGAATTCTTGTTTGATTAAAGTTTAACGTTGTCCTCATTATGACATAACTAAATTCAATGAAGCTATTCGTTATGTCTAACTTATGCCTTAATTGTGTTTCCAGAGCGAGTCTAGAACGGGTCATCCCACTCTTTGGGGGAGGCCTTAGGAACGCGGAAACGGAAACAAGGCCATTTTGGTAGGGATCAGCACCCGCCCGAGTGTTGATTCCTACCAAAACGCTGATTTGCTCATTTAAAATCTTAATTGTATACCCATGATGTTTATAGCCAACTGATGTTCAACATTGCCCTTGTTATGTCCGAACCAAAGATAATGAAGCTCTTCGTGATGTCGGACCTATGCCTTGAATATGTTTCAAAACTGAGCTTGGAACGGTGCCCGCACCCTTTTAGGGGAGGCCTTAGGAGCGCGGAAACGGCAAAAAGTCATTATGGTAGGGATCAGCACCCGCCCGAGTGCTGATCCCTACCAAGACGCGGCGTTGCTCCTCTTAAGGCTTTAATTGTATATCCATGCCGTTTAAATTATGTCTTAATTAAACTTTAATATTGTCCTTATTATGTCCTAGCTAAATTACATGAAACTCTTCACCCTGTCTATAAGTATGTTCCAGGACCAACCTAGGACGGACTAGGCTAATTACATGTCCATAAGTATGTTCCAAGACCGAACCTAGAACGGGCCCCCCACCCTTTGGGGGGAGGCCTTAGGAACGCGGAAACGGAAACACTGCCATGTCGGTAGGGATCCGCACCCGCCCGAGTGCTGATCCCTGCCAAAAACGTTGGCTTGCTTCTTTTTAAAGTCTTAATTACATACCCATGATGTTTATATTCTGTCTTAATTAAGGTTTAGCGCTGTCCTTATTATGTCCTAAATCTCACGAAGCTTTTCATAATGTCTAACTTATGCCTTACTTATGTTTCGGGAACGATTCTAGAACGGGCACCCCGCCCATTGGGGGGGGGCTGGAGGAGCGCGGAAACGGAAAAGGCCATGTTGGTAGGGATCCGCACCCGTTCGAGTGTTGATCCATACCAAAATGTTGTTTTGCTCCTTCATTTTTTGTTTAGTATATCACCCTGATGTTTAAATTCTGTTTCAACCAAGCATCCGTTGTTGTAGTGCGGTGTCTATCGATATGGCTGCCCATGCATTCCATATGGAAAAACATATAAACTTCACAGAGAAACGCAATACCAAAAAACTGCAACACTGCATTTTTTGTCGTGCCAATTTTCTTATGCAGTATATATTTTGCCATATGGAACGCATAGGCAGCCATATCGCTAGGAACCGCACTTGGACAACTTGTTTGCCTTTTTTTTGAAGGGTTTGATTAAATGTCCATGACGTTGCCTGTAACATTGCCATACTTATGCCCTAACTAAAGTTATTCGTATTTAACATTGTATTTAACATTGTCATTATTATGCCCGATCTAAAGTTAATGAGGCACGTATCGCGCGTTAGTGTCCGAATTAATTGTTATGTCTTAAGTATGCGTCTTGTGTGTTGAATCATATCGTAACCATGTCTCAGTTAAGTACTAAGAGGGTCGGATATCACGACTGCGACTGCTGATGCTCTTACTACTACCAGGGCCCGTACTCCTACAACTCATATATCTACGCCGAGGACTATTCCTGTTCCAGTTTCCAGTGCTACTGCATGCTTCTCTGTTTGGGGCCCACGTCAGAAGCGACGGTTCCCTCAATGTCTTCGCTCCGCTGTTTGGGGCCCACGTCAGAAGCGATGGTCCCCTCAGTGCCACGGTTCAAAACCTCGCGTGCCCCTGCCCCCATCGCCTCGCGTGCCCCCCTCGGGCCACGCCTCGGGCCACGCCCATGGAGCCTACGCAACAGGGCGGATCGCGCCCCGAGCAGCCGCCACGCGAGACGATTCCGCAGACGCCTATAGACTTGTTGATGGATCAGGCGGAGCGGGAAGTCAAGAGTCGGCGGTGGAAGGGAGAGAAAGAGAGAGAGAGAGAGAGAGAGAGGGAATTGGGGGGGGAGGAGGGTGGGCGAGGGAGGTCCAGAGCGGTGGGAA